GACAATAAATTTGCTATAGAAGTAGATAATTCTATGCATCACTTGACCTCTGGTTCAGATGTCGCTTAGACGGTTACTTTCAGTGATTATTCTATAGAAAAGTCCTGTTACCATAACACGAAAAATAAATTCAATTTTGTGTTCGGCGAAGAGTGGTGAAAATATGTGCAAATGAAACGACTGATGCAGAACTGTTGTTAATTCGTGCTGCATCCCTAAGAAGCGGTTATATGGAACGTCTTTCGGGATGCGATCGGGACAGAAACTGTGACATAGAAAAGGAACTGATGTACATTTCTCCTTTCGAAGGGTTTATGTTCAGGCTGCTCCTGTGTTTTCGTTTGAGATTCGAATCTTTGCTTCTGTAATCGCATCTTTTGTATCCGTTCATTTGTTACTGTGGTGCAGCGTAATTCCACCACACCTCGAAACGTATGTGTTAGGTTGGATTCTGTCCGCTCTCATTGCCGTCAAGGATTTTGGTTCTGCAACTATTGTTGTGGCACTTTATTGTCATGTCATTGCTCAACTAAATCAAAACCCACGTTCGCGAGAATAAAGCCAAGCGAAGACAGTTTTGTTCGCTCACAACTGATAATTTGTCTGTTCTCTTCTCGATCGAAACCCAGCAAAGTGCGCGTATACCTTTTACTGTTAGGCTGAGAAATGGACACTTCATGTTTCGATGTAAATACACAAGTTACACTTTTCAAACAATCACATAGATAGATAATCACAACCTCATGGCCTCAGATGGGTGTAATTTCTTGATTAGTATGATGGGAACATTAATCGGTTCTTGAAGCTGGGGTTTTGGTTGCAAGTCTCTGGGATACTACACACCCATGGCTAGGGCCTTGAACGTGCGAGCTGTTGTCCGTTACGCATCAAATAGCATACATTAAATGTGGACAGTTTTCAGGGGCACCAAAGAAGAAAGGCTTCATCTGGTGGAAAATTCAGTGAGACCGCGTCAATCAAAGTAGGGCACGAAGGAACTGTGGTATGACTTCCATTTCAGGCACTACTGTTATTGCTATCCTCAGAATTTTCCGATGGCAATGAAGGTGAACGAGGGTAGTACGAGTGAAATGACGGGAAGCTGGAGTGACCAACAGGTTTTAACGATGCAGAATGGTTTGTGCCCATCAAGAATGAGTGTGACAATACCGCTGATATGTCTCCTCGTTCAAAGGTTGATGTGGCAAGCACAGTTTTGTGCAAGTTGGTATTATACACGCTTCCTCAAATAATGCTTTCAAATTAATTCTTTTCCGTCGTCAATGGATACACTTCCTCTCCTTCAGTATAGATGTGCATTCCCCATTTGCTTAGCTCATTTGTGTAGGGTTTAGAAATTATTACGGTGAGAGAATCTGACCCTCCACTACGTCAGTCCCGCTTGTATCTGATTATTACATACCACAATTTTGATGTTATCGCCGTTTATTGTTCGTTTTCCAATTTTTTATTATTTGGGATCTATAAAACTATTCATGTTTTCACCGTTTAACTATCTGTACGCTATTGGTTTTCAGGTCACTTTCAGCGGAGTATCTTTCCTCCGACCCTGAGCGTAAGCAAGCGAGTTCTGAGTGCACGAAAAGCGCACCAGAAGGTCGCACATCAGCATATGTCCGGAATGTTCCCATGAAAGCTGTAGCAGAAGTGGACCAACAGCGCTTAACAGATCACCGTCCAAAGATTGTATCAACCAAACATTCAGACTTGATTTCTGGACGTGGATCTGACGGTCATCCATGGGGTACTAACCCACCAATTGGCTCGCGTTCTGTGGTAGATAATGCTTCGCATTTGTTACGTTCCATGATTCGTGCCATCTGGCGTAATAGTAATACCAACAAATCCAATCAGACACGATTGCAGGGAACCACCTTGCGCACCACCAAATCGTCCACTTCATGCCGTGCTCTGGGAGCGCAGGATCTGAGCTGCACCAGTCAGTCCAATCCGGATGTCGAGGCATCCAACGTGTCTACCTCTTGTCCTCCACTTCTGATGCCTCAGTTTTCGTTCCTTAATTCCCATGTAACTGATCGCTCAGACGGGACCTCGTACCCGCGAGCGTCAGCGCACATGCCTCCCGTCTCAGCCCCTCCGGTTCAACGCTCCTTTTTTATACACAACCAGCCCCAGCCGAAAAACAATAGTTTGGGAAACTTCTCACTGACCGACCGATATTCGACACCTCCATTGCATACGGGTACCCGTACCTCACTGAACTCATTGTCGCAATCTACTGTGGTTTTCAGTCCTAATATGCAAGTGTCAGAACCCTGCCCTAGTCCGACTGTGTTCACGAAGCATTCTGATCAAACTTATCCAACATTACCTCCGTCATCACCTCCAGCGCCATCCTTGACGAATCCACCAGAACCGCCCAGAGAAACCTCGTCTAAAACTGCTTCTCCTGATCCGTTCTACCTCGTATGAATTATTTGTATGCTTAATTGGTCGCCAGTTCAATTGGCACCTGCGTCTCTCAGTTGCATGACGAACTCAGAATTGTTTGCACCTTTTGTTCCGCTTGCCTAACACTCGCTTCCCGATCTAATTGTTCAATCGTGAGTGAGTGCGCACTTCCTCTTTCTTCCCAGGTCCGCGATTCCAACTGCTTCTGTCTTACGGGCTACCTCAACTCAATGCAGTGGCTCCTAATTTGTCTGTTCTGCCCTTTTCCTTGTTCGTGTTTCCCATCTTTTCAAACGTTTATCTAACTGTTATTGCCTTCACAACCCCTCGCTTCGTATCGTTCCTAACCTTTCTTACTATCACAATCGTAAAATTCGTGCAGTTGCGTGTACATAGACCACATTGGTTCTCGTTTCTAAACAGACTTTCAATGATCATGAAGATCTGTTCTTCCCGTTCACATCGCTTCTCTTTAGACTTTGCCGTTAGCTGCTTCCAGTAAATCGCGGAATCTCCGTTTTTTCGCGCACGCTCGTAACAATGATGTTTTGGACATTTCTGTATACACTATCTTTATTGTTCACAGTTGTCACACTACTTCTCTGCCTGTCACCAGTGATTTTTCATCCATTCACCCGCCTCGTCTCTTCTTTCCTTCCAAACACACACACGTTGTATCGCTTCGGTCTTTCATCTCATACGCTTTGGCGGCCGTTTACGATCCTTTGTAGTTCATTATTAACCAGCTCCGGTCATTTCCGACTATCTCCATCTCTGTTGCCATGGTCTATAAGATTGCGTTTTCAGCCAGCTTGCTTTTCATGCTTGGATTCTCGTTCCCTGTATTCTATGCCAGAGGATAATGAATTTCCTATTCACTATCCCCCTTATGCATTCTACCCTCGGTCTGTCTGATCGCAATGGCGTTGTATAGAAATTATTACAAAATATTATTTAATTCCTCTTCATCTCGCCCGATCTCTTGACCTTGAACTAGCTTCCAGCCATACATTTCACTTCTTTCAAAGTGGTACATATATATGGGTATATGCGCGTGTTTGTTTAAATGCATTCAAGCTTCGAACCGGTTCTACGATTGGTTTTGTCAGTTTTCTTTTGTGTCTGCTTCTTCTTATCTTTCTG